CTCCCAAAACTAAGCATTTTTGAACATACATTTATATACGAACTTTTTACTTATTTTTTCTATCTGCTGAATATGCTGCCAAGTTGCGGAATACAATTGGAACACCCTGAATATTATATTAAGGGCTTTTTAAGAAAACTTGTTTTATAATTCTTTATACATTCAGATTTTTTACACAAGCCTGTCCAACCAGTCAGGAAGATTTCGAGGAGATTCTTGGTACATTATTTGGTCAGACCATTGATAAATGAAACAAGTTTAGTTTGAGAGAAGTACCCCTAAGGACACCATAAATACTATTGGCGCTTTTTGCAGGAAATAAAATTCGGAAATGCTCGACTTTTTTCCCAGATCCGTGTTAGGTTTGCAGTTCACACACAGCAGTTTTTACGTTTTTGATGCCACTTTCCCTAAAATTATTTTGGGCTGGCGCAAATAGAATTAAATTAAACTCTACAACATCGCAATAATAACTTTGAAAAAGAACGCCATAAGAACCGTTAGAAGCGCCCTACAACGGACTTCAGACTGAAGTCCCCGACTTACGGAAAATATACAGGGTGAGTTTCCTACGATGTACTCTATGGGTATCTCGGAAACTACTGAAGATAGAGAGCCGCTTAAATGGGGAAATAATTGCAGTTTTGTGGGTTCATAAATATACCCCTTTCATATTTTTGAAAAAGTTCATGGCTTACTAGATATTTCGAAAAAAAACAAATTTCGGCTATTTTAAAAATTGTCCCTAATTCCATTATAAGCTATTTTTGACAAAATGTTTTCAGATAAAAGTTGTAGATAATCACATTTTTATGAGGCTGTGTCCTCCGTTTTCTTCTAAAGCCTGTCATTTTCGACATATGACACAAACATATGTTTTTTTTAAATGGAAACCATAGTTGGCCATGACTTCATAAAAAGCGTCATTTTTAAGCTTTTCAGCGATATAAGCTATAATATGTTTTCTTCGAAAAATTACTGAGTTATAGCCAATTCTTTTCATTTTTAAACAATTTCACTTAGTTAGCCATGGAAACAAGTTTAATCGCCTTTGCTCTCGGAAATGTGAAGCTGTCACATCTAAACTTTGTAAATTAAAATAAGCAAACATTGTAAACATGAATATTTCCAAAAAAAGAAAAGCGTGTAGGATTATTGGTTCAACTTTTCTTGACCATACATTTTCGACGATACGTTGACCGGTGAATGTTACGTTTTTTAGAGAACGGTTTTTAAGACATTCAGTTAAATTTAGTTGTAGCCAATTCTTATCTTTCTTGACTAATTTCAATTAGATTGCATGGTATTCTTATTTTGTTATGATTCATATACTTTAAGTTATTTTTAGAAAATGTTGAAAAAAATCCGCCATTGTTTGAGTTTGCTTCTTTTTAAAAAACTGAATTACTACCTATTCTCACAGAAGGACCGGTCGACTTAATTAAACTTCTCTCGTACCGCCACTTCAGGTGCCCTCTCATAAGTTCTTTTTTGTAAACCTTATTGCTAACCATACCGCATAAAAAAATCTAAAATGGGTGAGGTCCAGGTGATCGAAGGAGGCCTATGCAATTGGTCCACCTCTTCCTATCCCTGATGCATAATTATGATATAAATAATTTTTTAACATTTCTTTTTTATGGGGGTGTGGTGGTTGGATTAGAGAAGTCATAATGAAAGTCATGTTGGAACCACTCTGATGCGCAGTATCTACACGCTTTTTCAAAAAAATTTTGAAAAATTCATATTTACAATTTTTGTTTATTTTAATTTACAAAGTTTGGATGTGACAGCTTCACATTTCTGAGAGCAACGGCGATTGAACTTGTTTCCATGGCTAACTAAGTGAAATTGTTTAAAAATGATAAGAATTGGCTATAACTCAGTAATTTTTCGAAGAAAACATATTATAGCTTATATTGCTGAAAAGCTTAAAAAAAGCGCTTTTTATGAAGTCACGGCCAACTATGGTTTCCATTTAAAAAAACATATGTTTGTGTCATATGTCAAAAAGTACAGGCTTTAGAAAAAAACGGAGGACACAATCTCATTAAAGATGTGATTATCTACAACTTTTATCTGAAAACTTTTTGTCTAAAATAGCTTATAATGGAATTAGGGACAATTTTTAAAATAGGCAAAATTTGCTTTTTTCGAAATATCTAGTAAGCCATGAACTTTTTCAAAAATCTGAAAGGCGCATATTTATGGCTCCACAAAACTGCAATTCTTTACCTATTTAACCGACTCTTTATCTCCAGTAGTTTCCGAGATACCCATAGGGAACATCGTAGGAAACTGACCCTGTATAAACTTACTTATGAATCAGACTTACTCAGTTTTAATCATCCGCTGATGATGCTAACATGGTTAGCGAAACGCGCGTCCAGTGTAAAAGTAAAAGTATTTTGGTGGATTGTGGTGATTTAGTGTTATATTTTGCTGTGTAACACCAAAGGTCCCAACCCCCAACTGTAATAAATTTATTTCCTTTATCTATGTGCACCTATACATTTTATACTTTTTGATTCTACATGGATTTATAAAATCATGTTGAGATCAGGGAAGCTTTCGACAGAAGAAATAACCGAAATAAATTAAAATGAGATACATAACTGTCACTGTCGGAGATCCTCTATCTAATTTTATAACTTTTATGATTATTTTAATCGAAATGTAAGAATAGATATATTTATATTAAAACATTTAATACCTTCTGTTTAATAGCTTCGTTTATTAGATATTAATTTTAAAACACTGTTTTATTTGAGAAACTAAATTTAACTTAATAGCACTAACGATGTTATAACATCTGCGTGAGTGATTCTACTTAAGCCTTGCCGAATTTACATGACATATTATTTCCAAAACCATTACGATTAATAAGAATGAAGATTTAAATTGAGTAGATTTCTTGGTTTCGTTTTCATCCGTTCTATTTCGTCACGAATAGCAGAAAATCGACTAATAAAGGGTGTTTTGAAGTACCGCTGTCTATGTTTTAATAAATTATACAAACAGTATATCTGTATACGTATTAGATATTTTTAATAAAAATATTTTTTACGTACATATTTATAATTACGAATAATTTTTTTTATGATATCAACCTCCAGGAAGGTGAACTATTGGACGACCAATACAGAGATGGTGAAGCGGAACAGGTTTTTAAACCTAAACCAAAAAGGATACGGCGACGAATACGAAGAAATTTTGATGATTAAATTTTAAGTATCTATTTATTGTTTAATTATTGCTGATATATCAACTTAATATTATATAAAGTAATATACCTTAATGCTAACAAGTAAAATTAACTGGCGGGAAAGGCATTTATTCGAATAACAAGGCAGTGAATTTAATGCAATTGCTGTTTACAATGGTATGCATAATTTAACTGTATCTGATTGGCACTTGCTACCAGATTCTTGGTGTATATAAAGTTTAGTTTAAACTCAAGAAATTCTAATTAGCTTACATTCTATGCATATATGCAAATATTGTCTAAAATGTAATTTAATATTATATGCTAAAAAGATTTTAATATACTACTCGTAGCCTAAATTCTGTTTCAGAGTTTTTTTCAATGGAATATATTACTTCATTTTGATAAGTTTTATAACGTTTTATGCTATTTTTTTTTAGTTAATTAAACATTGTATCAACTGTGTTAATAGTGCAGTTTAACAATAGAACGTATAGGATGCTATCTGTAACATAAAAATATTTCAATGTGGGCATTTAAATTATTTTATAGTCTACTGCAATTGAAACGAATAATCCCATGACTATGCTTTTCAAATAGAATTACCTAATTTTTTTAAAAATGCATCAGAATTACCAAATGGAATTGTACCAAGCCTTTTTTTCTACGGATTAAATAGAATAATTTATTTCCACACTGGCATTCTAAATAAAAACTGAGCAAAATTTTTGTATGGAATGGTAGCCTTGGTTGCATTTTTTTTTATAATACACTTTATCGTAAATTTTGAATTTTAAATTTGTTGCCAGATATCATTATATCTAATCTAATCTAATTTTATATATAATAAACAATTTTTTATATAATATATAGTCGTAAGTTGACTATCAAGATAAACAACTATTTGAAATGCGTCCTTGTCGTGTAAAAATTAAAATAAGGAGAATAAAAAATAAATCAACAAATGATGCACGAGAATGATATTTTTATTGATATGTTTGATTCATTAACCTTCTTGTTTATTTTTAATTAGGTAGTATTTAATGAGGTGCAATAACTATATATGCTTTTACGAATATTCCAAAATTTGTCTATCAATTTTTTTAAGAAGCTTTATTGTATTCAATTATAAGCTCATAGATCCTCTTTTCATAAAATTAGTAATGTATAATTAGTAATAAGTCAAAAATATATAATAATAATAGCTCTCGTATATAGCGTTTAACGCCTTGGGAGTAGCAAGGCCATGTTCTACAGCTTGCCATGCTAGAGCCGTTCGGTATACAAGGCAGGTAATGTGGATAGCACTATGCTTTAACCGCCTATTATTACCTCAGGATTGTGAATCCCAAGTAGGTACTCATTTAAGGCTGAGTCGACCCGAATAAGTCAAAAATACGATTTTTATAATTATATAAACATTAAATATGGAAATGACGTCATTGAAATCCGCTTCTTTTCTGTTTTGTTTGGTTTCTTGAATTTGAATAATGCGGGTTTTACCTGGTTTTGCTAATTTTTAATTATTTCTTGTTTCTTTTATAATTGGTTTTATGGAACGTGTAATAATTTAGTAAGACATTATGTTAGGACTTGAAGTACAGCAAGATATTTGTGAATCATAGGAAGTGGTTAAAAATAGGTTCTTTTTCGATTGTACTTAGACTAAATAGATGAAAAATAATGAAGCAGATTTTTATATGTATGAACCAACTTCAGTTGTCTAACTTAAAGTCTCAACCAACTTTAAAATTATATAAATATTCTGACTAAAAAATGCCGTTTTTATTTTCAGAATTTGCCACTGAAGACAAACTTGAATACTGCTTCTTCCCGAATGCATCGGGATGTCTGCAGTTCAGAGTCAAAGCACCTCACGATGCTCATATCGCTTTGTCCCCAGAAGCTGGTGAAGTCGATCCCATGTACGAAATATTCATTGGTGGATGGGGAAACACAAAATCTGTAAGTACAGCATCTACAATCTATTTTATCGATTTAATCATTCATCAAAATATTACGGGTTGTGTTAAGTCGGAGTCCCTTTGTATTCCCATATTGTTATCAAATTTCACGCTCAATATCCAATTTTTAATATACACAAATTTTTATATACAGGGTGATCCGTACTGTATTCTGGAAACTTCGGCAGCATATTCTGCAGATAAAAATATTCGTATAAATGTATGTCGCAAAATGTTAGTTTCAGAGATACAGGGTGTAGCAATTTCATTTTTATTTCGATTTTTTCTAAATAATTTCTGAAGTAACGTCAATATTGGAATGAAAATTAGTGTTTGGGAGTTTTTTGACATGAGTAATTTGATTTTGATGCCAATATGACTCCTACTAGTAGAGGGCGCCACCTACATGTGTTTTAACTGTTTTGAAGCATAATAACTTTTTGTCCGTACCAGTACAAAACTACTGAGTGAAAAAATATACATGTCTGTGACTTTTTACGTAAAAAATATCTCTTTGTAAAAATCGCTACGAGCAACCGTTCTTAAGATATTTAGAATGGAAATAGTCAATACATGTCATTATTGACGAAAAATAAACACGTTGAGTAGAGAGTTATTTCACTGAAATAATAAATTTGGGAAATTTTAATTTTTTTAAACTAATCATAAATTGTTCTGCAAAAAATGATGATAAAACAGTTTCTGTTGAACTTTTGGCACGAAAACATTACAAATTTATGATTTCAGTCTAATAACTATTTAGTCAACATGTTTAATTTATGTCAATGATGACAGGTATTGATAATTTCGATTCCAAATATCTCGAAAACCATTACTCGTAGGGATTTTTGCCAAGAGAACTTTTTCACATAAAAAACGTCGTAAATGTATATTTTTTTACTCGGTCGTTTTATACAGGTACGGACGAAAAGTTATTAACTTTCAAACCAGTTAAAAAATATGTAGTTGGCGCCCTCTACCAGTAGGAGTCATATTGACATCAAAATGAAATTTCTCATGTCAAAAAACATGTCTCATGTCAAAAATTTTGATCCAAATATTGACGTTACTTCAGAAATTATTTGGAAAAAATGGAAATAAAAATGAAACTTCTATACCCTGTATCTCCAAAACTAAGCATTTTATTTATACGAAGTTTTTTACTTATTTTTATCTGCAGAATATGCTGCCGAAGTTTCCGGAATTCAGTTCGGACCACCCTGTATATTGTATAGAAGGTTATATAGGTGCGGTGAAATCTGGGTTGGCATTCTGTTGTTAATAGTCCTAACCTCTGAATATGATCTCTCGGTTCTTATTTAAATCAAGGAGTCGATCGAATCATTTTGTTTAGCAGAAAACTCTTTTATAGTGTTTTATTTGATTTGTAAATTATCAAGTTATCAGTAACTATCATATCAACATGAAGAAAACCGTTTTCTGAAAAAAATACTGTTATTAATAATTAGGTATTGAAGCTACAGCATTATCAGGACATGTTGCTTTGTGCTTATACATGAATGAATTATTTCTAATCGTATTCTTGGTTTTCTGTGCTGACCTTAATTTCCAGATATTTATAATTATTGTTATTGTCTTTATGCCTCATAATATATTATGTTACTTTGACTTTTTGTCTATGTTGACTATCTATTTTTTTAATACTTATCCATTTTATCTTCTATACTAATTACTTATACTACAGACTAACTTATTGTGGTTATACTGAATTTGTTTTGATTTCATTATTTTAAAGTTTATTCTTCTTACAGCTGGCCAGGCAAAATTCTAAATTACGTACTCATTCCGCTGCTATAAAGTGTAGTCTGTCTAAATTCATCCATAACTTTTTTTAAAGCACTTTCACACGAAGCCACTTATATCCTACATCAGTGTCCGCCACTGGTGTTCAGTTTTAGCAAAACGTTGTTTAAAATCTACGTATACAGAAGAACCATTTTACAGTCTACGCTGCTTTGAGTCTAGTATCAATCGCTACCTAGTGTCTCACGCTTTTAATGAGAAAGGAAACACCCACTAAATACTAAAAAAATGGTGTTCTGATTTGTGTCAGCTACCGGTATCAACATCTAGACTAATGTGCTAGGTCTGTTCCAGAGATTGGTACACCGGCTTAACACCGGTGTTAGGCTGACATCGGTGGTCAAAAATGGGCTATACAGTGTACCGATGTCAACAATGATACCGGTGTTCATCTCAACACCGGTGTTGATCTCGATACCAGTATTCATCCCGACATCGGTATTCAACTCGACACAGGTGTTCTTCTCGAACCGGTGTTCATCTCAATACTGGTTTTGAATACGGCACTGGTTTTTACATCAACACCGGTGTCTTGGTAACGGATAAATAGTATTTTTATATCTTTTTTTTGTCGCTGTTTTTTGTCTTCTTTGTCGATTCCGTATTCAACTATGACAAAATGACAACTCTAAATGTAAGTAGATGTCGAATAAAAACTGGTGTCGTAGCCAACTTTGTTGTTGTACCGGTGTCGGTGTCGTAAGACTGACAGGTAAAACGTTATGTGTAGACGGAGCTTAATTTAGCTTATTCTTTAAATTTTTCATTATAGGATGATTTTTTTGATTTCATTGGAATATTTTTCAATTTACATATTGTCCATTTTAGATCATCAGGAAGAACAGAACCAAACCCGACGTTGCCGAAGCACCTACTCCAAATATACTGAGCGGCGACGAATTTCGCGGTTTCTGGATCAGATGGAACAACGGACAAATCGGCGTTGGACGCGAAGGTGACTTCAGTCCATTCTTATCCTGGACAGACTCAGAACGTGTTAATATCGAATACGTAGGTGTCTGCACTGGCTGGGGTTCAAGCGGAAACTGGATCATTCAACCTGCTGGTAAGTTTAATTTCTTTACAATTGCAATTCTTTCAAATATTTTAAGTTGTTTAGGTTAGTGGCTCTTTGTTACTTTAATTTAGCCAGACATTTTGTAAAAGATTATGTTCTGTAAACTACATTTTTTTTAATTTTGTTTGCTTTTTATAAAAAAATAATAGTTTCACTTTAAAATATAGTTCGTGATTACTCAACTTTTGAATATCATGATTTTGCATAGAGTTTCAATTTCTCCTTCCACAATATATCAGAAGTCGGGATAATTATTCGAAATGCCGAAATTTTCATCTTACTATCTTCTGAAAATATTCATGGATGCCTCAGAATAATTGGTGTTTCTATGGGTTTTATTTTGTCACGTAACATTTTTTTGTGAAGTTTTATAGGGTCTCTTCATGTTCAGAATTTCGACAAAAAATAAGACAAATATTGAAAATTAAATTATTTATTTTTGTATCTCAATAAATAATTCACAAAAGAATATCTTTTAAGTAGACGATTCTTCAAAGTATCTTCAAAATTCCGCTATATCGACCTAATAATATTAAATATTGAAAATGTTCTTTCTTTTATAAAATCAAACTATATTATTAATATAGGTAGATATATATTTTAAATTTGTTGATTTTTTTTTAATATGTTAGCTCCAGGTGGTGGTAGCAGTGGTGGAGGTGGAGCCTGTGGAGCCCAATGTTGGGTGGCATCCAGCGGTGGAGCAGTCCCCCCCAGTGGTTTTGCCGGAGGCGAAGACAACGGTGAATCTGTTTATGTTGTGAGAGCTAACTACAACGGGGCTCTTATACCAGGAAAGTTAGTACCTAGTCACGGTCAGGCTTACGTTCCATGGGGTGGAGCTGAAAATCCTGTACAGGAATACGAGGTATGTTAATTTGGTTTCAGCATATTGTAAGATATCACAATACTAATTTACACTTTGTGTCTAAATGAAAATTACGTTACAGTAGGTGTAGAAATAATAAGAAATAAATACTTAAAAATAGGCATCCAACTGTCAAATATTGTGCTGAACCAATTGGATTCTAGGCTTTCTATATATTCTAAGACAACGATCATTTACCGACAAAGTATATTTGGACTCATTAGTAAAGAGTCCTTCACCCCATTCAGACCATTCAGTTCATTTTAGGTGTTCTAAATGCTAGTCTGGCTTCGATTTGATGTTTTCTTTTGAGCTTTGGCCCAGTTCCTGCTTGTCTTGATTTCAATTGATATTCCCGTAACCTGTTTCTTACCGTTTGATTCCTTATCCTAATCAGGTGAGCTCTTAAAATTTTGTTCTGCAAGTTTCTAACCGTGGTTCTACAATTTCTCAAAGTAATTGTAGGAAGTGATCTTGGGCTGATGTTGTAGCTGTTGGTCTACCTTGACCATGACATCTTGCATAACTCTGAGTTTTCCTGTAGCGTTTCAATTCTCTACTGATTGATGATTTGTCAAAATTAATAATTTGTGCAAATCTAATTGTATTATACTCCTGGAAATCTAATTGGCTTATACTCCATTACAGTTGTTTGGGCTTCACCTTCTGTTAAATGGCCTCGAATCGTTTATTTGTATAATTCATCTTTACCAAGGACTAATTTAAGTTTTGTTTACAAAATCACATAATAAACAGAATGTCGATTGGTGATACGCACAAAATAATCTGACTATTTTAATGATGAAAGAAATTAAACAATTGGAAACGTAAACAAAACAGGCCATTGGAATTTATCTACATAGTCATAGCTTTTCGGGTATGTTGAAGAATGCATTTTTACTTTGAAACATGATAAATAAAAGTCCATAGTTTATTTCAAAATATGTAGTAATTACCTTTTATAAAATGGGATAATTATTTTGCGTAGTGTATTTCAGGTTAATATTATAGACCTTTCAACATTACCTGTATAGCAAAATAAAACACTAAATCACCACAATACACCAAAACACTTTTACGTTTACACTGGACGCGCGTTTCGCCAACCATGTTAGCATCATCAGCGGATGATTAAAACTAAATTATTTGTTTTGACTCGCTTGGTTAGTTTTGCCACGCCCATTCAGAGCCAACTGAGCGAGTTATATACACGCTCTATTTTGTAGGTATTAATTTAGTTTTAATTATCTGCTGATGATCCTAACATGGTTAGCGAAACGCGCGTCTAGTGTAAAAGTAAAAGTGTTTTGGTGTATTGTGGTGGTTTAGTGTTTTATTTTGCTGTTGTATCACCAAAGGTTCCAACCCCTAACTGTAATTACCTGTATATAACAGATAAGTTTTTACAGGGATGACATCTATTCTGGAATTTCGTCGTATTTGTTAAACGTTTAAAATTATAACAAAAACATAGTTTCTAAAATATTTTATAATCGAAAAAAAACGACGTTTAGTTGGTTGGGAATGAACATCGATCACATTCCCCATATAATTTTATATATAAAAATGACGATTTGCATTTCATAGTCATCGCTGACGCCGTTGTTACCTATTTAAATTTATTATATCGTAGTTTAATCGTTTAACGAACATTTCAAATAGTCTACGATAAGCTGTCACTAACACTGTCAAATCTCCAGCGAATATAAACAATGTAATGCTGCATTGGCTTGTTATTATTTCTACACCTGCTGATATGTAATTAATCCAATCTCAAGGGGTTGCAATATACATGGTGTCCCATTTTCGTATGTTTTACCGTGTTTCCCTTTTATGAGTGGCGATACAAATATGCGGTTTTCATGTAATTGTACTATTTTTTTATGAAGCTAAAGATGCTACACACAGATTTGTTCTGGTCCTCTTAGTTTCTGAAATACAAGGGGAATTTGAAAATTTTGTATTTTTCGACCCCCTATAAATAGTTATCCAAAAATAATAATAACATAAGAGTGAAGAACGAATAAATATTTTCAATTAAAATTAATAAATGAATATAAAAGAATACATAGTAAAAGTTTTTAGAAACAAAGAGTCTTCCTTATACGTAAGATAAAATAAAACAACTCTAGATTTATTTATCACATTTGATGAAAATCAATGAATAGCTTCAGACCTTGGTCCAAACAAAAGTTATAAACACGGGTCCAGACATTTCGACGACTTGCAATTTTATTGAGACGCATTTCTAGTTTACTCAGTTCTATTAAAATACATTTAAAATCGTTTGTGCTCCCATACAAAAAGTTTTTAAAATTGTATTGCAATTCTAAAGAGAATTACATTTTGTATTCTAATTAATTTATTAAAAGTATATAAAGAAATGTAAATAATTGATTGCTAATTGCTAAGCAAATTTAAAGCTTTTTATAAATTTCTGGTTTTTAAGTAAACTGGCAAAAATGACAAAAAATATGTTTAAACTATTATTTGTAGATAGCTATATGCTCATCGTGATGCAACACTATCTATCGATGCGAAAAAAAAACACAACCGGACTAAAATAAATTAAACTTAAAAGAAATCAAATATGTAAGCGAATAATTTCAAAATTCTTTAAATGACATCAGAGTAACTTCATGACATTGAAATGTATTTAATAAAAAGTAGAGGAAATGTCAAAAAGTTAAACATGCAATTTAAAATATATCATATTACATAAAAGTTTTAGTAACAATAAAAGACAAGAAAACCTAAATATCATGCGATTTCCAATAACTTCAAAGATTTTATTAGCTGGGTCGCTATCAACATTTTCAAATGTCAAAACCAGGGACTCTCGATAATATATTTTTATGATAGTCGTTAAAAATATTCAAAATTTATATTAATAGTTTTCTGTTTTTATTGAACGGTTTATTTGATTTTTAGTAATGTAATTAATATTAAGTCGCGCAATACAATAATTCTTCCACTATAAAAAGTTGGGAGAACCAAATAAAATTAAACTGTTATAAATTTAAAAAAGTCCATAAACTAATGTCGATTTTGAAAATAGTTACTAACTGTCATTAGCAAATTCCCATGGCGACACCAGCCATCTCGAATGCCATTTTATTGAAAAATCGCTTTTTATTCAAAATCTGAGCTAGTTAGGTATAGGAAACGCTAATATGGTTTGAAAGATCATTTAAATCTGCTTCGACTTATTTTAAAAAATACATAGTGTTGTATTTAAAATAACGAAGTTTTTATGTAAAATAAATATTTAAAACAGACCAGCAATTTTTGATACACCTGTATACATTTAAAGAAACAATAATTTTTTTTTGTAAAGTTTATTTCCCTGGCTTTAAAGTCAGCACAAGAATTAACTCTAAAAAGTAATGTACAGGGTGTCGACAAACTTTTTTATTATAGCATGCATATTTAAATATCTTTAAATATCTCAAAAACCAAAGAATTTAAACATATTAAACCCTTATAATAAATGTCATATTTTATGCCCAAGAACTCAAAGATGAAATAAAATACCGGGTGTTCAATAAGAAAAAATATAACTTTGGTATGCATTTTAGTTCTGACACACCCTGTACATTTTAAAATAATTTTAAATTATGCACATTGCCTCTCTACATATACCCATAAAACATTTTGTTTATATATCTTTCCGTTTTCGTATAATCAACCGAGGCGAATGAGGTGCGCCACCCTGTATTAGTTTTATTTTCAAAAATTTTTGGAAGTATCCAGAATCTTTAAAGTTTTAATACCGCACTTAAATCGTATATCTTCTAGTTTTCAAGATCTCATTGTTGAGGCTCGAATTTGGGACATCCTATAAGAACGTAGTAATTGCATCAGAAATAATGATTATAAATGATTTTTTCCAGGTTCTGTGCGATTTTCCTGGACAGTGGTTGGCCAACTCCGGTGGCAACATTCCAGCTAACGCTGTCCCTGGAGGCCAGTCCGAAGATGGAGAACCCTTGTACATCGGCAGGACCGTCCACGACGGCTGTTTAACCATTGGCAAAATCCAGCCCAGCCACGGTGTCCTTTACATCCCCTACGGAGGCCAGGAACTCTCTTTCTCTGACTACGAAATTCTCTGTTCATAAATTCAAAAGGACTGACCTAACTTTAACTGTCTATAAAAGCATAATGGCTGCCTATTAGATCAAACAATATTATCTGTTTTTGATTGATGTTTAGATAAAAAAATCAACCCCTAAAAGATAAAAAGAAACGAATCTTATTAATTTTGCACAATAAAATCTTAAATATATATTATACGATACTGTGGCTTACTGTTTAGGTGCCTTTAGTATATAAAAAAGTATAAAGTTAAATATTTTTTGAGAAACAAATACAATTTTCATAGGCTGCTTTAGCTTTATATAGTATGCATTTTGATATTTGGTTTTATTAAGTAACATGGATTTATGTATTTGAGTTAATCTAGTTTAGTGTTATTTTTCTTTCGATTTAAGATGTGTTTATTTATTTATAGCTTTTTTTTATTATAGTCATGAAAACTTCAATGTTTAAAGTCTGGTAACTATTATATATGTACTGTTAAATAAAAAAAAATCTTACGTCTCTTTTGCTTTTTATTTCCCCCTCTAGTAATTTTTATTTTGTTGGCTTGGAAATGAACATTGATGACATTCTTCATATACTTTTACATAGAAAATGACAGCGACTTTCATTGCATAACCGTCGCTAACGCTGTTATTTTTTATCTATTGTATTTCAAATAAACAGATTTCCCAGTGCAAATTTTTACTTGTGAGGACCAAATCTTAGACAAATAGAATACATGAAGCAAGTGAAGGGGTGTCTCACTTGGGTAAAAATTGTACATGTACAGGCTGAATCAACCATAGAGTAAACTCCATTATCTCCCATTATCTCATTTGTTTCGAGGTTTACAAAAAATATTAAATATAAAAGTTATAGAGACGGTTAAGATACATATTTTAAAATTATTATATAGTATACAGGGTGCTTCACAAAAGTATGGCGAATATGACATATTAATATAAATATGATTTTTTAAATGCAACACCCTATTTTTTATTTTATTTTTAGATTCTGTGTAAAATTGCATAACTTTTTTATAAATAAGGTTATATACCTATAATTAATAGTTTTTGTAATATTTCAATTTGTTTAAACAGTGTTAAGCATCAGTGTGGTGGAAAATTGTCAGTGATGCCATTCTTTTTGAAGTTGGATAACAAAAATTTGGTAGGAGAATTTTATAGAGATACTATATAAAAAGACGTATGTCTAAAAAAGATATTTTAGTTAGATGCTATAGGGTATTCAAAATATATTTATGAATTTCAACTACTTAAAGTTAAGAAATTTCAAATCTTTTAAATGGTACACCTTATATATTATCATTTATTCTGATAGATTTTACAAAACTCTTCAACTTTTATTAAGTACCTATGTCATATATCTATTTTTAATAGTTTGCGATTTATTCTATTTTTTTCTATTTTTACCCATATTATTTTTACTCCAACTTCAGAAACAATGACACTACTGACAATTTTTTACCACACTGCAATCTAACATTTGTTTAAACAAATTTAAATATTCCAAAAACTATTCATTATATATAAAAAAAAGTTATAGAATTTTACGCAGAACCTAAAAATAAAATATAAAATAGGGTGTTGATTTAAAAAACACATTTATGTTATATCCGCCATAATATTTTGAAGCACCCTGTATACTCCATAATAATTTTAAAATGTGTATCGTAACCTTCCTTATAACTTTTATATTTAACATTTTTTTGTAAACCTCGAAACAAAATGAGATAATGGACTTTACTCTATCGTTGATTCACCTTGTACATGCCAAAATATAATTTTACTGCCAAGCAACTGCCAATGACTGCGAAGAAGACTGGCTATGTCTGCCATATAATTATATTCGACTGATGCCAACGACTACCAGCGACTGCCAAGAAAATGTAGGTACATGTAATTCCAACAGTGAGACACCCCTCGCCTAGAGCATAACAGTATGGAGACAAGAGTCAGGTGTATGTTCAAAACGTCACTAGTTTACAATAATGTTTAGACTATAGGACAGATTATAGGAGTTGTCTTGTAGGTAAAAATGCAATAAAACAAGAATGATAATATTTTCGAAACATTTTAATATAAATAGGTATTCGCAGTTTTACAAATGCATACATATTATTCTTATTTTACAGATTGTTTTTACATGGTTCGCAACAAATGGCCTTCAAAACACAAGCATTCGAAACAAAAACGGTTCTTAGCTTTGTTACATAAAAAATACATTTAATTTGCACTGTGTCATGCGATAAAAACTTAACACTATCGTATTTTTGACTCGTTTTTTTTATTTAATTAACAACATTTTATGCAAAATATTTTTACTATTAAAAAAATGATACCTGTATTCGAGAACATAAAATTTTCTATGTACAAAATTGGTCATTATTTACTGGTGGCCTTAGGCCTTCTCTTTTATATATACAAGTTGGAAAGTGACTTACGAGTCAAAAACGTTTGAAACTGGAAGCACGTAGCATAGAAAAAGATAAGTGGATAGTTAAGAAAATTGAGATCTTTGTAGAATACTAACATTAAAATATAGAGAAGCTTCAGTTTTGGCGTGTCAAAAATCTAAAAGCTTGGTATTGTTGTGGCTAGTGTCTGCCCTTCTTATTGAAATAAGGATGAAGAGATAAAGATCATTTAATATTGTAAATAAATGAAGATCCAATACTATTCTTTCATTATAAGTTATAAGCCATTTGAACAATGGTTAAAGCTTCCCGTTTTAAAGCATACCTCTTTTAGAATTTATGATAGGTGCATTTTTTGCGTTATAATTTCTATTTCTAAAAAGTCAGTGGCTAAGTTGTGAATAAAAAAGATAAATATAATAGGTATTACTGAGGCTGTGGTTGGTTCCTTGTGAAACATCATTGAAATATTAGTATTTTAATAAAACACGCTTTAAGATGTATCAAAAAAATTTTAATAAGAGTAACTTTAACTCTACATATATGTTTCGGCTTGTTATGCCTTTTTCAAGAGTTTTTTAAAAACTCTTGTTACTCTTATTAAAATTTTTTGATACATCTAAAAGCGTGTTTTATTAAAATACTAATAAATATAATAGTGTCTGGCCCAAAATAAAAAAAAATGTATAAATGATATTCAGGAATGTCAGATATAAAATTAACACAGATTAAGGTTCTTTGATTATCTTCTAGCTGTGATAAGTACTATGGTTCTGAAAAACTTGTTCTTAAAAAACATATGACTGTAATGTAGAAACTTATTTTTAAGTAATGAGTTGTTGAATGAAACATCATAGTAGAGGCAGAAATAACACCTTACTTCAAATTTTTCTATACGGTTAAGGGTGGCTGCAACGACGTCCCGTAATCCTGCTGTCAAAACATAACAGCTAGTTTTTATATACAGGGTTGTTCACCACATACGACACGGAGTATTGTAGTTAAACGATTAGATTTTTACAAATTGTAAGTTTTGGATTCGTTGAAGGACTATTAGAGCTACAATTTAAAATTATTTTTACAAGATATAGAGTGTTCTAAATAAGTAAAAAATATTATAGTTATATTTTTTAAATGGAACACTCTGTATATTATTCTATTTTTCGATTCTACAATTGGAATAAAGGTAAATTTGATTAAGGTTTATCACACTTAAACCTTACTGTTTATGAAATATTTTCCATTTTGTGAAATTGCTGTAAAAAATTTAAAGCTTCATTTCTCCAAGGTTATCAAAGTTTTTAATACTAAATATTTCCTCAAGTTTATTTATTGATCAGATATTGTATTGCAATAATAAAAATAAGACTACCTTATACAGAGTGTATAAAAATTTATATTAAATAATTACTAGCTTTAAACGGCAATAACTTGGTTAATTTAAATAGAACACCCTGTATATTTTACGAGAATCAATTTAATTGTCTATCAAATTGTATTACATCATTTTTTACCTATCTCTTACCTACCTTACCCCTCAATATACATATAAAATCTTTAAAAATGATCTAAAATGTCAATAATCCATGGGTATATTGATAAATGAGGTCTAAATTATAACAAAATGCATTTTCTACGAAAACTTGAAGAGATAGGTAAAAAATGACGTAATACAATTTGATAGACAATTAAATTGTGCATCTGATTCTCGTAAAATAAACAGGGTGTTCTATTTAAATTAACCAAGTTATTGCCGTTTAAAAGTAGTAATTATTTAATATAAATTTTTATACACTCTGTATAAGCTTGTATAATTTTTATAATTACAGCGCAAAATTTAGTAAATAGAAAAACTTCAGTACAGTATTTGGTTTTAAACTTCAGCACAGTATTTGGTAAAAACTTAAATACGCCTAAAGAAATGAAACATTAAAATTGTTACTGAATTTTGACAAAATCGTAAATATATCAATAACGTAAGATTAAAAGGTAAACCTTAATCAAATTTAATTTTATTTCAATAGCAGAATCGAAATATGTAATAAAATATATAGGGTGTTCCATTTAAAAAAATACAACTATAATATATTTTTTTTATTTGGAACACTCTGTATCTTGTAAAAATATTTTTAAATTGTAGCTCTAATAGTCCTTCAACGAACCCAGAACTTACAATTTGTAAAAATCTAATCAATTAGCTACAATACTCCGTGTCGTATGTGGTAAACAACCCTGTATAAAAACCAACTGTTTTGTTTTAACAGCAGGATTACGGGACGTCGTTGCAGCCACCCTAAAGGAGTTAATATAGTCAAAAGTTAAACTCTTAACAGTGACAGTAACGGTGAAGTTCATTAGAAAATAATTATGAATTAATTGATTAATTAACATAAAACATCCAATCAGCCAACTCAAATAATTTAATTTCTCTAAAAGTACATTATAAGTGAAGCTTATTTCTCAATTATGGAATGATAGATATAATTACTACCACTTATACAGAATGGTATAAGATCTTCGATTTAATTTCTATTTAATTTAAACATATAAAACTTAAAAATTATGTTTGAGGTGTAACAGAAGAGAACGTACTTAGAGACTAAATTACTTTTCAAGACGTTATTTTAGAAAAAAATAGAGACGATAAGCGCTGTAAATTGAAAGCTTTATCTTTTTACTAAAGAATCTCAAGGACCAACGATTCTATTACTAAACGACCATATTCTTTTTTGAAAATGGTTAACACATTTTTTATATATGTATATTCAAAATTAGTGATTGATATTCTACCTACGAGTAAAAATTATATATACATTTAAAAATTGAATTATTTTATACGATATTTAGAATTTGAGACTAACCTAGTGATGAGATGAAAAATGATAGGCGATATCAGGTCATTTGAATACAACTAAAATGTTTAAAAATGAAAAGTATTAGAGTTTAGAGATTTCTAGGAAGGTATCTCCCAGTGTGATTCACAGATTGTTTTATTAGATTTAAGCAGATAGCTAAATAGATACTAATAATCAGTGCGATTTTATGCTATTATTTGAGATAATTTGACTTAAAAGATAAAAATG